ACCACGAAAAGAAAAAAAAAAAAAAAAAAAAAAAAACATAAAAAGGATGTATACCAGATGTGGACATGGATTTATTCGATTTACATTGTTCGGTTCTTCACTCTTCTACTTCATCACTTAGGATATTTCATATTTCATAGCTTCTACCTACTACTTAAAGATATATAGTGTTTCAAGTTATTGTTTTTAGACTGATGTGTACCCTTTTTCCTTCTTCATTTCTGTTATGTTATTTTTTTTTTGTTCTGTTATCTTTTTGTTAACCTATTAAAGGAACAATAAACTTCTATATGTTAAAAAAAAACCAAATATTTACTGTTTATGTTGATGATGAGATTAGTCTAAATAAAAGAAAAACAAAAACTAAACTTTTTAACAAAAAAAATCACGATTAGTAGAGGATTTTTTCGCCAAAACTGAGTTCATTTTGACGACATGGGTGCCCACATATACAATATTTTATGTTGAGACTAATCCGGTGAGCATCAGAAATTTTATCGGTTTTTAGTATTATATTGATACATATTCTTTGAAGTGTCCTTTGTCGATGTATGAACAGAAACTTCTTTTGACAATGCTTTGAATTCGAAAAACAAATGATTTTCTAGACCGAACATCTGGAACTGAATTTTTTATTGTATGTTTTTCAAAATACAGTTCGTCTTAATTCGAAATATGACTGATAAGCCGACAAGGATGCTGCGTATTTTTCATTTGTTCGTCAGCCACTTTCACGTCTGCTGACAGCCTTTTACCTTTTTGTACTTCTTCTTCTCTCCCTCTCTATAATAAACATGAAAGCAGGAAGTTACTTTTACTCGATATGCTATTTTTCTTTGACAACAAGCCTTTCACAAATATAAAAAAATGTAGCTTTCAAACATGAAAAAAAATGTACAGTGGTCAAAAATCTAGAACAACTTCAATAGACAGGAAAAAACAATGACTGTTTTGAAGAAAATCGAAATTCTTTTTTTTTTGGTTTTTTTTTCGAAATCAAGTTTTCAATAAAAAAATTAATCTTGCCTTCATTTCTTCAGTACAGTAAGATATATTGATTTGAAACTTTTTTTTTACATAAAATAAATACGAATTGGCATGGGCATGTTTTTTTGTCAACAAATCTTATTTTGGTGATATTATTTGACAGCGTTTATTGAATTTGTTTTTGTAAAAATAACAAGTTTTTCTAAAGAAATATTTGGTATTTTAGCTTTTTTATTCAAAGGAAAGAAGATAAAAGAAAATTAGAAGATTACCAAACACAAATAGTGTCCAACACCTGTAAAAAGAAAATTGTTAAACTCTATCGAACATAGCATCTTGAAGAAAAAGGAACGACAAGTAGAATAATTTTGGCATCAATATTGCACAGAAGACAATCTCTGAGAATTTTGAACGCTTTTATTCTACTCATCAAGACATATCTTTCCTGAAAGTTTCAATATTTTCTGATCGATCATTCTCCGAAAATCCAGAAAAGTGGAAGGAGAAATACCTTTAAGAAAGAAATTATTAGAAGAGTCGTATAAAATTTATTTATTTGTAACGATTAGAAATTCTAAAATAAATTCTGGTGAATCAAAATTTTAAAAGTTTTTCCTATAACAGTTACTGTTTTCTATCACAAAAAATGATTCACTGTCTTTATAGATTTTATAACAAAGTGCAAACAAGAAAATATAGAAAAAAAAACAGACTATGGTCCAACTATATTGGACGGGCTGCCTACCGCTGTCTATTCACAAGCGCTATCCCACGACTGTTCGACATGAGGTCTTTGACTTGCTCGCATATTCGCGCCTCAGCCGGTTCAACCTTCCTTAGACGCCCTGGAAGGAGAGATTCCTCAACTCCCACCATGTCGATGCCGAACTTCGTGCGGACGCTCGATCAACATAGATCAACGACAAACAGGACTCCCGCCCGCAAGTCATTCACACAGTCCGACCCCAGAAGCAGCTCCGGTTACAGAAAGACGCCGCGCTTTCCAGTCGATGATGAATAACATGAATAAACTATCTATAGTGAAATAAGTTGAACTGGTGCAATAACATCCAACATAGTAAACTATGGAAAATATTCTATCGGTATAGACAGACATCTATCGGATAGTAATGATTTAAATCATATAAAATATCCATCAGTTATTGTTAATGACGCTTGCCATAAAATCTTTGATGCATAAGAATAATTCTAAAGAAAAGCAATTGCGGATCGCTCGTTAAATAAGAATAAATTGTTCGAAAAATAATGTGGGTGTAGTTTTGTTTGACGTGTATAGTAATATAAAAAGAATAACATTCTTTTTTAGACTTCAGTTGATATTTATTCCGATATATTACTTTAACCCAATTGCAACTAATGCCATGTTTTGTCCTTTCTTTCCTTTCGTACAATTTTTTTTTTTTTGGATATTTATCGAGTGTCAGAAAGGAATAAACGACGATAGAGAGAAGGACAAAAAGAAACCTGTATTTATGTGCTAGGGGTAGAGATAAATATGTCTCTGTTAATATATATATACATATTAGACAACTTCATTTTTCTTCCTATGCCTTATGTTTTGTCTTCTATTTTGACCGAGTTCATTCATATAGAATCAGATTCTTTTTGAAATGTAGTAAACATGTTATTGGCTCTTCCAGAGGCAGTGTCCGTTTGTATATTTAGGTTTCTATACTACCATTTAATCAAAGCATATGATTGTATAAATAATGTAGCTTCTTTTAATTACTTTTAGTATGAAAACATCATTTAAAATAATATAAATTGATTGCACACTGATATGATGAGGTGGCGCAATGTGATCTCGATGAGTAGCACTGCAAATGATTATTCACATTTACAATGGCCATTAACATTTGCTAGTGTATTAACAACATTTTTAGCTTTGATACTTCTGTTAAGTTTTCGTTCTGATTCATGGTTTACATTTGAAATAATTCAAATTAATAATAAATCAACAATATCAAATACAACAAGATATTCCCGATTACTTGAATATGGTTCTATCGGTTTATGGACAATATGTATTGGTCATTATAATGATCCTGATTTTCAATGTGATGCATGGCCAAAAGAAAATCGACCCCATTCGTTTAATATTCTAATTACATTAGTTTCATGGGCATTATTTCTTTCAAATTTAACAGTTTTTCCATCATGGGGTTCATCAATACTTATACATTATAATTCAAAGAATCGTTATGTTCGACCTATATTTGCCTTTATTGGAATTCTATTATTTTTAACATTTTCATTTACAGTTATTCTTTTGACTGCAATATTATTTATAGCATCAACACCATTTTATGCTCCAGGACGATTTGTTATTGATACAGGTCATCTTTTTTTTCAATATGGTTTTGGTTTAATTTATGCTGCTTTTGGTAAGTTATGGATTTTTTAAAATTTTGTTCTATTATATAAATAATAATATTTATTGATTGTTTTAGCAACGTTTTTGGCTATTATTTGTTTGATATTAGTAATTTTAACATTCATATGGAAAAAAATGATTGAAATAAAATTAAAACAAGTTGAAAGAGATCTCTTACAACAATTGTCTAATGATGGTTATCAACCAGGTTGGCATAAAATGGTTATTGCACCCCGTACACCTCTAACAAATGATCCAATTGGTCAACCACCCCCATATGAATATTAACAAGAAAATTAATTGTACAAGAAATTTATTTTATTTTTCTTTTAAAAAAGCAAAAAAGAATATTTTGTCTATTTAGCTTGGTGATTTGTGTAAACATTCATGCTCATTGTAATGATTATAATAAATATATACATATTAAATAAATTCATTAATCAGTAATAATTTAAAACAAAATTCTTCTCATGAATAAGAAACTGATTTGAATTTGAGTTCTAATTTTTGTAGAAAGTTAACAAATGATTTTGTAGTTTGTACGATTACTAAAAATGAGTTTGTATAAATTAAAAATAGTATACTAGTTTGGAATTATTTTTTTACAGGAGAACCTATAAACATGGGAGATTTAACACGGAAGAATTTTCTTTTCATTTAAACTTTTATCTGGAGTTCAAAATTGAATTTCAAATTATTCATTAATTTTGTTGTGACTCTTAAAATAACTATTGGTTAGATATCTTATATTTCAGTGTTATAAATAGTAAAAAATGTCAGGTCATTAAATGTTTCGATTCTTGATTTATTGCTAAAATAATCTCTGAATAAAAGAGGCCGAGATGTCAAAGAGATTTGATCATTTGTTAGATAAATATTATTATTGATAAGTTAATCCCAACAAATCTATGATCTCTTATCTAATCAATATATATATATATTTTCTAGGCAAAATTATAATTCGACTAAAAATAAATTCGCACAATCAAAACAATTCCATTGGTTTTTATACAAACATTGTTTTTTGTAACGTACTTGGCTTTGTAACTGCAAGTACAGCCTGTTGTTGAATTCGATTGGGAATTTTTTTTATTTCATTATAACACATATATCTACACTTAAACCATCTATCATACAACCGACACGAATACAGTCTTATCTCTTGAATTTATATTCCACTTGACTTTTAGTACAGCATACAATCGTATGAATTTATCTCGAATGAAGAAAAAATGCTGTTATCTACTGAACACGTGACACAATACTTTTTCGTTGGTAGACGAATAATAATAGAGTATATCAAAAGATTGATTTGGACAATTTTGTTAGACTATATAATAGAGCTAATTTAAAAACTTCGAAACTGTTATGTTTTGTTGTTGATTGTTTTTCAGTTTTCTTTCAATTTCTTATTAAACCAAACAGTTCATTAGATCATTCTCCGTTTGATTATCAAATACAGATTCCCTGCTGTATTTGTGGTGCGACAGTTTATTGATTAGTTCATAACCTATGAGAGGAATTTGAAATACTCAATGTCTTTTATTGGATTGGAGTGCGTGCCTCTCTACAACACATATATACGTTATTCAGAGGTGTCCCAAGGTCGCCAGGATTAGATGAGAGGATCGATGACTCAGCAGACCGATCAGAAATTTTTTGTTAAAGTTGACTTTTAGAACTTCACGGGAGAAAAGCGCAAATTTTTCAAGATTGGGCGAGGCTTACCCATTTTTCGGAACTCCCGAGATTTTATTTTCTAGAACACAGTTTATTCTGTTTAAGAGTAAGTCGTTGACTAAAATTGTCTACAATCTATCAATAAATCAGATAAATATTTGTGACTTTATTGTCTCACTTCTTCGAAATTTCAAATAATTCTATTATCAATATCAGAGTTGCTAGCGTAGTCTGATCAAAATCTACTTGAAATTAACATCGTAGTCTATTTTGAATGCTAGATGACGCTATAGGCTGAGTTGTATTTCGAAAAACTTTCAAAGCAAATAATTGGAATAGCTCCTAAATGCATTAGAATAATAAATGAAAAGGAAAAAAGAATATGAATTGATTAATTGAATCAATTGAACTATTTTTGTTTAGCATGTGTCTGCAATAAAGTCTGCTAGATTGATCCCGATGGACTCTATCCTACACATTTCTCAAAAGAGTCACCTATGAAATATATAGGATGCACTAGTCACCGAATACAAAAGCATCAGAAAAAAATATCTTGTTTATTCAGGACGGCTGTCCTATTCCTATTAGAGTTTTTCATTGAAAGTATTAAAATACGATTCGATTGCGTCCTAAAATTTTGGACCCGATGGGCTCTAGTCTGTAGGGGCTAGGCCAACAAAGTGACCTGTTGGCAGCTCTAATCAATATTCAAATTCAAAATTTGATTTTCCTAACATTAAATATTTGTATTTAACATAATAACTTTGTCTTGGATTTAACAATAAAATTAAATTCTTAACAAACAAATAAATACTCAAGTACTGATCGACATATCTATTATTTTCATTGTGTAACATTCGAAATTTCATATATCTACAGATAGAATATTTCTTATCTCTGTTGTTTTGTTTTACTGAATAAACAATAAGTCACGTCACCGTAATATCGAACAAGACGAAAACACAGAGAACAAATTTTGAAATGAAAGAAACACAAGAGAAAAGAAACTATGAACAGCTAACTAAACGCGCAAAGCTGTTCATCTACAAAACACACACAGTGTACAAAAACAAAATGTAATCGACAAAACTCAACAAAAAAAAAACATTTTTTTCTTTTACCTGGACGGATACAAGACGTATATGTTAACAAAGAAAAAACAAGTGAGACTAGGCTGATTTAAAATATATATTTTTTGATGACTCTTCAAGCAAATGCACTAAATCTTGTAAACATCGTTTTGGTATAATACATCCAACGATTTTCAGTGGAATCGATTGGTTATTATTAAGTGGTGTTGTTTTTATTCGTATCATTTGAATTTTTCCTTCTGGTAATATTCGTTCCATTGGTGACCATAATGCAAGAACACTACCTGAAAGAACAAAAAAACGACGTGACCGTAAACCAACTTCACATGTTTGTTGATGATTTGATGATGAAGTTGGACAATGACCTTGTCTAAAAAAACAAACAAAGAAAAAAAATTAAATTCTACAAATAGCCTTAAGTTTTTGTTTGTTTTACCTAATAAAATGAATGCATAATGTTGCAGCTTTATGGTACAGCTCATCCCAATAAGCTTGTGCTTGTATTGGAAGAACCTTTCAGAGCAAAAGAAAAGAAACAATTAAAAAATAAATGAACAAATTGTTTTACTTTTTCATATTTTTTTCTAAGGCTTTCTAATGTTTCATATCGTTGTTGTAAACCAGTATTAGGACGATATATACGAAATAATTGTTCACTTTTTCTTATATTTCCAAGATTAACATTTGATGTTGTTGATAAAGCAAGAATAGGTAAACGACAATAAGGACGATTTTCATTTGACATATAAAAACCATCATCTGGATTTATTGATTGTTCTTTTAATTGAACAGCTTTACTAAATGCAAGACCACGTTCGACAACAATCTAAAATAAAAATTTTAGTGCATTTAAAAAAAAAAAGATAATTTTCATATGAAATACTTGATGTAATTCAACTTGAAGAGGTGTCGTATTTGTTTGTACTGTTTGTAAAACGAATACTTGGCTTTTTTCAACAGAAACTGTTTCTTCGCCTGTACCAAGATCTAAAAAGACAAAAAGAACATATTATTAAGGTCACTCATCTAAAAAAATAGTCAATTTTGATCAAAAGATGAAAATTGAAATAACTGCACAGGAAGATAGCCAAAGATAGAGAGGTGTGAGTCTACATTTTTGTAGATCCAAACTCACTTGGGTACAAATTCGAGGTTTTGTTCAACAATATCTAGTACCCTCCGTACACATGAACAAGTGAAAGATCAAATTTTTAGCTATTTATTCACTCATATCAGGAGAAAATTCAATGAACAGTTGTATCTTGTTGTTGTATTTCTCATTTAGGAGGTGCGAAGCCAGATCTGGAAAGACTCACAGCTTCCTAGCTCAATGTTTGATCGAAGCGGAAATAACAGAGACATTAATTTGGAGGCCTTTGAAAACCTTCTGAAATCCAATAAAGTTCATAGAAGTCAGCTGTGTCCCCGTCGAGTCTGGTTTTTGATAAAACGGCATACTTTTTCTAGTTGGCAGTTCGTTTTTTTCTGCTTGAAAAATATGACTTTTGCAGAAAAAGTGAGAAACCTTATTGGCTTTTTTTGATCGTGCAATCCATAATTCTCTGTGAATCTTCATTCAATATATTTAACGTTTTTGTTTGTTTGAAAGAGACGACATAACAGAGCTCCTTAATTGAATCAAACCTTATTGCTATTATATAAAAGAGTAGTTTTATAATCAAAGCACCATTTTTCGATACATTGATTTTTTTTTCGCTAAAAAAGTAAGAATTTATAAAAGAGCTCTCTCAAACAAACAAATTAAGTATATAGAATTAAGACCTACAGAGAATTTCAGATTGTCAAATGAGCTATTTGTGACTCTTGTTTGTTAAATATCTCCGAAAAATATTATGATATAAGGCTGAAAATTTTACCATAACCTCTCCACTATAATCGGGACATATTCTGAAAACTTCATAGAATTTGAATATACCCGACTCAAGGACGAATTTTTTAGTAGAGGCTGTGTGACGGCATTAGCCATCAACTAGGTTCTTTCTTTCTCAGGGACTTATGCAGAGGGGCGATTGTGGGGAACAATCCCTCCTGAAAGGATTTAAATGCCTGTAGGGGGGTATGGATTGATTATTTTTCACAAGCAAAAAATTACCTTTTTTCCCATAGCGATCCCCCCCCCCCCCTTAAAATAATTTCTGGCTACGTCGCTGTTCTTTCTTTCTTCTTATTGTGTATACCTTTTTGCTTTACTATTTAATTTCTACTTTTACTCAACTACTTCTTCATCTGTTCATACTATTCTTGCTAATTACCATCTTTTCTTCTTGCTCATCATTTTATTACATATCAGCTAGGATCGCATCCTAGAGAATGTCCTTAAATAAAAGAAAGATTTTTACCAAGAATTCCTAAATCCCATGAACCATTTCTTCGTGCATCAACAATCACAGCATTAAGTACATCAGAAAAGAATCGAAATAATAAGTTTTGCATTTGAACACGAATTCCAAGAATACGATTAAGAAATCGACTCATATTATTATGATCTAAATTCAA